AAGATCCAGCTCCGACCGTAATAGGCAGTTACATTCTAGTATTAATTGAGTTTCTCAAATATACGGTCAAAAAAATATAAATATATTGAATTTTAAGAAAATTTTCGTCATATACAGGGTGTCATTAAAATACGGTACCACCCATCTCGAGCAGGTAGAACGGACTGAGTCGAAAAATCCTCTACCATTTTGCGATTTTCGCAATAGTTAACGAGACATTAATTACTAAAAACCGCTAAATATTAGTTTTCAATAATTTTTTATTCAAATACTATTAACTTTTCAAAAAAACAGTAAGAGATAAAAATGGTTTATTTTCTTCTTATAAAGTTCTGAGAATTTTTTCAGAATTTTTTCAGAATTTTTTAATACTGTATTTTTTCATGGTGGTAAAAATAAGAAAATGCAGTACTAAAAAGTTGATAAAATTCTGAAAAAATTTTTAAAGTTCTATGAGAAAAAAATAAATGATTTTTGTCTCTTGCAATTTTTCTGTAAAGTTGATAGTGTTTGAGTAAAAAATTATTGAAAATCAATATTTAGCGATTTTTAGTAATTAATATTTCGTTATATAGTCACATTGCAAAAATCGCAAAATGGTAGAGGACTTTTTGCCTCAGTTTAATCCACTTTACCTGCTCAGGATGAGTGGTGCCGTATTTTAATGACACCCTGTATATTGTACACACATATATGTATCGTACGCGCGCGCGTGGTGTGTGTGTGTAAAATTGTACAATGTATATCCTGAAAATTTCTCTTAAAATTCTGTATATTAATTTTTCAGAACTTTTTTTAGAAAAATTTTTAATTTTTTGTACGAATTGGAACATTTTTCAAAAATGATGAGAAAGCTTAGATTTTTTCTCAATTTTTTTTCTTAATAAATACATGTAAATAAAAATTAAATAAGAAGATTGAAAATACATACATATATAAATATCAATGTATTAAAGTAGAATGAATTAAGAATGAAATTCACGGTAAGTTGATTAAAATTATTTTAAAAATTAAGATACAATAATTTTTATGCGAGCAAAGAACAATATCAAAAATAGTGTTCATATTTATTTTAATTGTTAATGCAAATTAAAATTCAACCCATACAGCACAGAACATTGAAAAATATTGCTGAGATGTTGCAATGTTAAATTTGAAGTATCAACGTTTTATCAATGTTGTACTTATATTGATTCTTTTACATAAATTATTAATATTGCTGCAACGATGAAACGACATTGAATAAATTATATATCAACACCTATTTTATTTTGTAAAAAATGAACAAAAATATAATGTCATGTAAATAAAAAATTTAAATCACTTAAATTGATCTTTTAGCGAAATTCATTTCTAAACGATATATGTTTACGCGAGAATCGGCCGCACGTGCAGAATGCTTGCACATATGGTATTGTTTGTGTAACCGGTCCGATGTGCGATGTCGTTTCGTTGTCTTTCTATACATATATCTATATGTCACAATTATATATTTATTGACATTCAGTGTTCGTGGATCATCGAAGTTGCAGTTCCCGTACGATTGCAGAGGTTAAGCATCGTTGGATGACTAAGATTGAATGGGCGACCGCTTAGGAAAATAAAGAAATTAATTCCCAAATGAGGGGAAGCTTTTTTTCAATTATAATTTTGTCGGTGTGTCCTGAAATATGATGTTAATCAATAATACTTATTTTAATAATAAAATTGAATTAATTAATATGAGAAACATTTTTTATGTCTCACAGACATTGCAATTCAACGGACATTAGACGTTTCTGCAACGTCTCTTCAACATTGAATCTACATTTCGCGATATTACTGCAATGTTCGCAATGTTGCAAATCAACGTTTCTGAGATATTGATTCAATGTTAGTGTGCTGTATGGCAGTCTACCATTTTTAAATCATTCAGTGGATACTTTTTGCACTTGTACATTTTTTTACGTAGTTATATGACATTTTTCCGAAAAACTATACTAGAAAATATTGGTACTAACAAAAACCCCTAGGCAACACGATTTTAATTTGTACGGATTAGTAATACTGGAAGTAGTAAGTCCATAAGGGACTCCGCATAATAAAAGGAACAGGGAACAGAGAATAAGAATTTCAACCTATCAGAATACACACTGCGTATTCCACAATACATGATTTCTGATAGGTTGAAATTCTTATTCTCTGTTCTCTGTTCCCTGTTCCTTTTATTGTGCGGAGCCCCTTAGCGTTGGTAGTGCGGTAATAAGCTCCTCTGCACTCTGAGCGTTCAGTGAGCTCTTTTATCTGATTGATCTATATTTTAGAATCTAGTGGAACATGCCAATCAGATGAAAGAGCTCATTGAGCGCTCAGTGAGTGGTTGTCGTTCTAAATGCACCCAATGTCAATTATTCAAACGATATACTTTCGGCGAACAAGTTTTACGAAATATGTATTCGAATGGATTATTAATATGCGAATACTGAATCTATAGTCACGCGGTAGTTAAATATCGCATATAAAAATATACATTGAAGTTATACTTTCAGGTATCATATAGGTTTTAATTACCATATTTGATCGCGGGTTTCGACTCGTCTGAGAGCCAGTCCGTTCCGCCGAGTCATCCCCTATCCGCCGCATTTCGCGAATGAAATGTGAATATTGTGAATGCGATCGAAATGGGGAAGCGGCGTCGTTTTCCGTGTGCGGTCAACTTCACGTGTAAAAAGCGACGCGAGACGCGACGACACAACACGACGTCGCGCGTCTTGATTTTCGATCGAATGAGTATGCGAGGCTGAATATATTTTCGACTGAATAATCAGTGTGCTAGTACTATACTAGACTCTGCAATATCCGATATTTACACTGAACTTTGCCTTTACTTCTCATAAAGGCAAAGTTAATTATTGATTACCTTAGTAAAGAAACCCAACGATGAACGATCCTTTCGTGCCGTTTCTCGTCGTTTTATATTCCAAGAGATTCCATCGTTTTATATTCAGCAGAGGCATTGGACTATGGAGAAAAAGTCACAATCGATTCGAAGATAGAGCTGCGAACTTTTCCAACGTCATTTTGTTATATATTTAGCAGAGATTAAAATATGGACAAAAGTCAATCGATTTGAAGACAGGGCTGCGAACTTTTCCAACGTTAAAATGACAGGACATATCCCCGTCCCCTGCTCGAATCGTAAAAGCGTGAAATTGAGAATTACGCGCTATTTATATGAGCCGTCGAACGACAAACCCCACCACTCGCATGCCAGCCAATGAACGCGTGTGATGTCTCGCTGCGGATACTTGTTGGATCGCGCTAGCTTTCGAACGTGGTATATAAATGCTACGCGTAAAAAATTTCAGTCTTTTTTAGAATTTGGGACCGTGTGTTTTACGAAGATAAAGAAGCCTGTACGCATTCGGCAAGTGCTTTTACGATGTTAGCATATATTTAGTACATACCCAGACAGCACAGAATATTTATGATAAATATTTATTAATATTCAATTTTTGAAATGTTATATAGATATTTTATACATATTTTATATAAAGCTTTATTCGAAATATTATTAAAGTATAGACTATAAATATTTTATGCAATATTTATGATAAATATAAATAAATATTTCTAATAAGTATTTTTTATTTAGATTATAATGTCTCATTAAGTATTTTTATAGCATTTACTAAAACTATTCTAATAAGTATTTCATAATATTTATAATAAATATTTATGATCTGTGCAATCTAAAACGACAAAAATATTTACAAAATATATTTAAAATAAATCTTATAAATATTTCTAAATATTTTGTAAATATTTTATAAATATTGTGTGCTGTCTGGGTAGTTCACGTTACGTATACTGTAAAATTTCAAACATAAAAGAGTGTTTTAAATACGGGCTAAAAATTATATTCTTTTCAAAAATTAAAAACCAATTAGAATAAATAAATGGAGGCTATCGAAAAAAATTATATGAAAGAAAAATCAAACTTATAAAATAATGAGCAATTATAAACTGTGAATCATTTAAACATCGCGCAAGTATAGAAATATACTTATTACTTAAAGTTCTATAGTAAAATTTTATAAATCAAAATATTAATATATGTATAGCAGTACAACTCCACTGAGTTTTATTTTATTGTTAGGTATTAAATATGTTATGATAATAATCATTACGCTCACTTGTATATGAAATGAAAACGACATTAGGTTTTTTGTAATAATATAAACAGTATTGGAAAATGGACTTAACGAAATTATATCGACGGCGGAGAAAAACCTGAGAGAGGACATGATGACGGCCCAATGGGGTAAAATCATCGACATCTAGA